TGATTGGTGGGGGAATGCGATGCATAGACCCGATCAAGAATCCCATGCGTTTCCGTCCATCCCGGGGCCATCGTGGTTTCCCTGGTCTACTTAGTCAGAGGAGGTAGTCGATCCCAACCTGACAGAAAGGATCCTTGTCGGCAGCCTATGGGTTTGCTTCGTCCAAGGGGACCTTAATAGACCGGGGTTTGAAGTCTGTCTAAGGGTTGACAAATTTGGATCCACCTTCAGCTAACAGAGGGCTTTGTGATGCCCTTCGATCATATCCTATTGATTCATATCTCAAAGGATTTAACGCCCATTAAGGAGCGTATTGGCTCTGGCCATAGCCGCTATCTTTATTTGGTGCCATTTTGGCGGCAAAATCACTCGGTTCAGAGGGCCCCCGTTGGGTCATGTAACCGGTTTACCTTGCAGTGCCATTTGGCAGGCGAAACTGCCGGCTAGAGGACACGTTACCACGTCCTTATCTGGCAAAGAGATTCTTTGAGAATGTGGATCCTAGTGCTATATTTTCGATAGGCATTTAACTCTTTGTGAGCTGAAGTAAACTTAATTTGTCCGCTCCAACAAACTGTTACGGAGGCGTGACGGATTTTGCTTTAAGTGGTTTAATGGGCTTGAGATTTTGGATTTTTTGTGGAATTTTGGATTGACTTTTGTGCGATTATTGGTTGGAGCTTTGGATTTCTTGGATTTTTATGAGGGTATTTTGGTGGAGCTTTGGTAGTATTTTGAAATGAAACTTCTTGGGGAGATAATTGAAAGTATTCTGGCGAACCCCTCTGGTTGAGATCTGATTCAACACGGCCATCATCGGGGTTTTTGGGGTTCATTTCACTTTATGGTTCGGAATCTTGTCAACTCTTATCGGGGCTGTCGACGAGGACTCGGGGTTTCGTAGGCTTCGTGCCTTGTTAGTGAATTTCTTATTATTTGTAGGCATTTGGAGGCTTAATATGAATGTATTAAGACAAATATATCGGATCGAGCTAATCGTATATTTGTTTTGAGAGTTCGAAACCTTGTTCAAATCCTATTGACCCGTCTATAGGAGGATTGGAGTTCGAACTTACGGGTGGAGGGGGTGGGAGAGGGGGGGGCGGGGGGGGGGGGGCGCGGGGGGGGGTGGGTGGGGGGTAGGGGGGTTGAAGGGGGGGGAGGGGGAGAGGAAACGGGGGGGGGGGGGGGGCGGGGGGGGGGTGGGGTGGGCGGGGCGCGGGTGGGGGGGGGGCGGGGGAGGGGGTGGGGGGGGGGGGGGGGGGGGGGGGGGGGGAGTGGGAAAAGGCGGGGGGGGGGGGGGGGACGGTGGGGGGAGGGGGGGGGGGGGGGGGGGGGGGGGGGGGGGGGGGGGGGGGGGGGGGGGGGGGCGGGGGGGGGCGGGGGCGGGGGGGGGGGGGGGGGGGGTAGGGGTGGGGAGGGGGGGGCGGGGGGGTGGATTAAGGGGGGGGGGGGGAAAAATTCGTGATAACTTTTTTTTACTGTAATACATCAATGCATTCTCTATATAATACTTATGAGATGAAAACCTTGTCAAACCGCCCGCAGCATCCCTAGACGTCACGTCGTGTAATCAAATAACGTACGCTCGCCAGGGCCCGATTGCGGGTTGGAGATTGTACCTTTCCCCTGAATGTGCTATCATAATGTGTATACAATTTTATTAGTGCCACGTTGTCATGGTATCTCTTTAAATAGACGCCTTCTGTCTTGCTTGGCTACGAAATTGCAAATCCCCTAGAGTACGGCTGGCGTGGCCCAGTTAGCCAGCTTCTGAAAGAGCTGGAGCATGGCTGCTTCATACAGGTAGCAACTGCCGTGCACATATTTGTTGATTTTGTAGGCGGGTCATAGTGCACTAACTAATCTCTAGCCTTTGGATCGTTACTGAGCTCTGCACTTGTCATAGTCTTCATGCATTTATTGTTGTGCGCTTCATATTGGTCTTTTACAATACATCCACCACTGCTAGAAGTAATGTATTCATCCTGGTAGACTGAAGTGACTATATTGCATACTACATACTAGTAGTCTTTATGTATTTGTATATTGATGGTTGCATTCGTTTGAGGTGTTGTAATATTTCTTGTTTTCTCTTCTAATTTGATATCTACTTGCCCAAGAGTCACACTTGAAACATTCGCATACATCTTCAATAACCATTGTTTCTTTATAGCTACAAGATTGAATATGCGTTGCTTTATATTATGATGTTATGGTAGAAGGGGTGTAAGGCAGTTGCTTTATTATGCTAGACGTCCTTTCATACCTTTACTCACGAAATATTTCATAATCACATTGCACATGACATTGTATGTTTGTACGGCTGGTGATGATATAGCACAAAAATTCACTTTGATATTAAAATTGACTGAATGAATGTGCGTTGCATTCATACAATAATCTCCCCATGCTATAGCTTGATTGCATTATAACTTGCAACCATTTCTCTCTGTGCGTCCATTTAGTACTTGTGGCCGGACCGTCCTTTGTATATACGAGATACTTCTTCATGAATTAAATTGTATCATTCATTAGCGGAACCTCATTTTACTAACAAGTGGTATCCAAGGTCCTTTGTAGCGGCCTTCCTTATTCATACATAAATCCTCTGGTCATTACAACCTGAGTGAGATATATGAATCTTTCCTTGCTGCATCTTGAATACCAAATCCTTCCACTTAGTAGTTGACAATATGTATTTTCTTGGCAAATTGCATCAACACATTTTATTTTGCACTTTATTTGCAAATGAGTTGTGATCACAAACCCCTGTTCTTCAAAGGATTTCAATCCAATGTATGTAGTGCGGTTTGATATCATTTATTCAAACTATAGTTTCTTACTTTGATTTCGGAATCAAATGCAGACTCAAGACCACAAGTTCAAGTTTGAGTCAAAAGTGTTTCAATCAAGTTCATTGTTCCAACTCATTTTCGATCGAGCTCAAATAGGCTTTCTTCTTGATATTCAAATTCTTTATTGCATTTGAATCCCCATTTCATTGTTTCAAATTCTTCATTATGCTTAATGCTATTTGATTAAAGACCATTTAAGTCCAAAGGATGGAGTCTTTGCATTTGAGATCAAACTCGTTTGGACTTACTTGAATTTCTCAATTCAGTTAAGTTCAAGTTAAATGTCATTTAGTCTAAATCAAGGTTCCACAAGTCTCATCATCGCTTGTCCCAAATCTTTGTTCAAGCTCCTCGCTACTTGTTCAGTTCAAGTTCTTTGTTCAACTCAAGTAAGTTCAAATAGTCCCCGCACGTTCACTTTGAAGTTCATCCTTGTTGGCTTAATGTTCAATCAAAGTTATGTTTAGATCAAGTCAAGTCCACAATTGATCAAGCTTGGACTTTAGTTCAATACAAAATTTTTTTATTTGAGTTCAATTTTGAATGTATTAGACTCATTTAGCCCTTGTCAAAATCCAAGTTACAAGTCCTTCGTCGTTCTCTGCATGTCATCCGAGTGCAATCAAGTCCAGGTTCCCAAATTGTTCTTCTTGAGTTAAATGAGATCGAAATGTAGCAATATTTCACCCGAAATTTCGGCAGCCTCCGGCGTCTCCCCCGTTAGGGCGGAAAACACGAAAAACTGGGTCTTTCCCACCCACGCTAAGAAAAAGCGTATGCATGGTAGATGCCCTCTTTCGCAGTACACCGCGCCCGGTTGTAATTTTTCGATCCCCCACCACGCTGAGAAAAGCATGGCTGATGCGGTATTTTTTGTTTGTTAAAAAGTATACTATATTTTTTTATTTTTTTTGAAAAATATATTTGTAAGGGCAAGGCAGTTATTTCCCCCACAAGCGCGGTAACTTATGGGTATCCCGGCCTTCGTCGTGCGCATCCACCGGGAATCCCTTCCCACCACCGCTAAAAAAACGTGCATAGGCGGGTTTCTAAGGCGATACGAACTTTTGAAGAAGAATTAAGGCTGCATTACCCACTTCGTCGCAAGCGTCGGGACGCACTCCCTCCCAACCACGGCTAAAAAAGCAGTGCATAGGTGGTCGTTTTGTCTCGACGAATGCGTTGAAAACGGGTTCTCGGAGTTTTAGGGTTTAGGAGTTATACCTGCGCAGGGTCGATGTGCGGATCGAGGCGCAGAAAGAGCGAGCCACTTTTCTTTTTCTTTTTTTATATATATTATTTAATATCTAATTATAATTATATTAATTAATTGCAACTAATTTAATATCTATAATCATATTTAATTAGTTATATTTATTTGCTAATCAATTATAACTAATTATAATAATTAATTATAATTAATATCATTAATCAACATAATTTAATTCAAAATATTAAATAACCTTTTTCCCAATTATTAATCATAATTAATTAATACTAATTAACATTAAATTAATCATAATTATTTGTAATAATTAATAATAATTTAAAAGGAAAAAATCATAACTAATATTTTGTATAATTAATCATTATTATAATTAAAATAGAATTAATTATAATTAAGATTAATAAAAGCCCTTAATCCCCCTCCTCCTCTCTGATTTCGGCAAACTACGGAATTTGGCAGAAGGCTCGCGTGAGAGGGAGAGATTACCTTTCACAAAGCCAGCGATCTCCTAGTTCGTGCTTCTGATCAAAACCAATCCGACAGGAGGTAATGGCGTCGGTATGAGTGAAGCTGAGATGGAGGCAGGGCTGGGCTCGCGGATCGGTCGGAGCTAGGTCGGGGATCGAGATGTCGAGAGGAGCTCGGCGGGATGCCAGGAGGTCTTGCGGGTTTTGTGGCTGGAGATGATTCAGGGGTAAGAATGCGAAGCCTCTCTTCTCATCTCTCTGTGGACGAAAGAAATCAGGTTACAGAAACAGCAAAGGGCAGGCGGAGGAAGGTCGGTCGGATGGAGGCTCTGCCTCGGTTTGCTCTTAACAGGTTGATGCAGAGCTCGGGACGGGAGACAGCGCCTCCGGAAGGCTTGCCGATCTGGAGGGGAAGAAAAGAGCGCTGGTTGTGGGATTCGGTGGAAAGTCATCAGGTAGGCGGGCAGGAGTTCCGTTGTTGCGAGAAGAGGGAGAGAGGCATGGCGGCATGCCGTGCCGGTGCCGACATATGAGATGCCAAAAGACTCAAAAGACATTTATCAAACTCAAGAATATGATAAACAACAGGACTGCAAGCCCTTATCTACAAAACCAAATGTCAAAATGACAAAAACAGCAAACTGCAAACCCTAATCTACAAAAACTGCAAACCCTAACTTCCAGATTGATAAAGTGTGAAATAAAGGAAGAGTAGAAATAATGTAGAATAGTAGATCAGTCGATTAGAAACCAAAACTCAGCCAAAATACTTCTAAAAAAACGAAACCTAAATTATTCATGAGTAATGAGTTCACAACTTCACTGACTAGTGATTACAGTCAATTCCAAATGGTGCGAAGTGCGAACGACGAACGGCCTGGAGAGTGGAGGAAGGCAAGAAGCAAGAGACTGAGAGAGTCGGAGAATGGCGTCGCGTCGGACGATCAGAGTCTCGGAGTCGGAGATAGAGAAACCCTAACTTAGAAATGAGAAATCCCTCACTCAGCTATCCGCTCGGCGCTCGCTATTAAAACCCTTATTGACGCGGGTTGTTTTCGGGTCGGAATCGGGTTACCGGGTTAACCCGAACCCGACCCGATTGTTATACGGGTCCAAATTTAAAACCCGAACCCGACCCGTTTATTAAACGGGTCAACCCGAACCCGAATTTTTCGGGTCGGGTTCGGGTCGGATTTTCGAGTCGTGTCAGTTGTTGACAGCCCTACCCTTCCTCTCTGATTTCGGCAAACTTACGGGATTTGGCCGAAGGCTCGCGTGAGAGGGAGAGATTACCTTCACAGCCAGCGATCTCCTGTTCGTGCTTCTGATCAAAACCGATCCGACAGGAGGGAATGGCGTCGGTATGAGTGAAGCTGGATGGAGGCGGCTAGGGCTCGGGATCGGTCGGAGCTAGGTCGGGATCGAGATGTCGAGAGGAGCTCGGCGGGATGCAGAGGTCTTGCGGGTTTGTGGCTGGAGATGATTCGGGTAAGAATGGAAGCCTCTCTCTCTCTGTGGACGAAAGAAATCGGCACAGGAAACAGAGGGAGGCGGAGGAAGGTCGGCGGGATGGAGCTCTGCCTTCGGGTTTGCTACAGGTGATTAGAGCTCGGACGGAGACAGCGCTCCGGAAGGCTTGCGATCGGGAGGGAAGAAGAGGCTGGTTGTGGGATTCGGTGGAAAGTCACAGGTGGGGAGGAGTTCGTGTGCGAGAAGAGGGAGGAGATCGCGGAAGCAGAGAGCTCCTGGGAGAGATTCTGCGGTTTGTGGAGGTTGAAAGAGAAGAGACCGGAGGAAGAGGGGAGCTCGACTTCTATTTAACGACGCCTGCGGTCGTTCGATCGAGGTGAGTCGCGAGATTTACAACAGGAAACACGGAGATTCGACTCCAACAGCGCCGATTTCAGCGGGATTCGCGGATTTCTTAGACGTATACGAGGTACGGAGCGAGATTTCTGCACGATTTCGGCTGGAATTGAGGATCCGATGGGCAATGTATGATTTTGAACTTCTTCTCTCTTTTATTTTTTGTTTCCCTTGGATATAGCGTACAGGTCAACACCCGATTTGACAGAATTGGCCGGCTTTATAAAATATTTAATTTTATTTTTAAAATCTTTTAGGTTATTAAATCTTTTAGGCTCAAAATCAACCAAATGACCTAATTTAAGAAATACGTGTCATTAATTTACTTTACCCTCCTAATTATGTATACCAAACAACAACTAAATAACTCGGTTCGGTGGATTTATGGGATTTGGTCGTCGAAGGAGCAAAGTTGAACAGCCACGAACGAGTCGAAGAAGCGACGCATGCAATCTCTACACCTCCTGTGAAGCAACGAAGCCGAACTGCAACGACGAAAAGAAAATATGAAAGACAAAACCCTAGAGGTCTCTAAGTAATTATTGATTAACTTAATTAATACAATTTAAAAATTAATAATTAATTGATTACCAACGCAGTGAGCGAGCTCCCGTCGTTACTTCCGATCCCACGCCTTGGAAGAGGCGAAGCAACAAGCGAGCTACTACCCTGCGAAGCGCGCACAGATTTGGAAAATAAATTTCTTTCTTGATTTGCTTTAAAATCAAGATTTGGAAAATCCGAACATTTGGTCTAATTAAGTGAACTCCTAGTGTCTCACAAACTCTTCTTCTTCACACGTCGCCTCTGATTCCGCCAAAACCTTCTTCTTCGTGCGCCGCCTATGGTTCCACTAAAACCTGCTCCAGCGGTCTCCCGCGCTTCCTCGTTCGACCAGGATTTGATGTATAAGCTAGTGTTTTAAGTTTATATGCCATGTTTTTTTTATATATTTTTATTTATTAACTTTATTGATATTAAATAAATTAATATTGATTCATTCAAATACATTACATTAAATAAATAAAAAATGTTTTTGATTTGTGTTAGGAGAATTTATTTTAGGTAATTAATTTTATATATCAATAATTATAAATGGATTTCTAACTTTATAAGCCTCATAACACCCAAAAGTGAAAAAATATGTATGTTGTTCGTTTTCTAAGATAAATATATGAGAAAGGTTATTTTGAATAAAATTATTTTTAAAAAGAAATTACTAAAAGACTAAATAATTCAAAATAAGCTTAAACAACCAAAATTCAAACTTGGTTTAAACCTGCATTGGAATCATAAATATCCGATAAAGCTTATTTTGGATAAAATGATTGTTAAAAAGAAATTGCTAAAAGACTAAATAATTCAAAATAAGCTTAAATTACACTCCATATATTCCGATTTGAACCTGCATTGGAATCTAGGAGTTTGCGACAAGAGTGGTGGGTGAGATGAAGAAGAGTATTTTGAGAGTTTGAGATGGGGGTTTGATAATGATATTTCATGACGATAGGTTGTCAAAGATTTTTTAAGGTAGGAGTTCGGTTGTATGATTCAAATGCGGTTCAACCAAAAGTTTGAATTCAAATCAATTTTACTCGTAATATGCTTCAATAAACATTCTGTATATACTATATAATGCAATTCTATCTAAAATAAAGTTTTAGGTATATTTTTCTAATGAAACAAACAACTAGCATATTTCTCAATTCTAAGCAACATGGGAAATAAAAAATCAAAATTTTCATTAGTAATCACTAAGGATTTTAGATTATGTTTATTATAATAAAATTAATATAGTCATAATTAATATCAGTTGATTAAAATATATTAACTAAAAAATTTGATATTATCTTTATTAATTTAATATAAAATATCATTTTTATTTAATTTGTTAAGAAAATAATTAAATGTTATATTTAATTATAAAATATGATTTAATTTGTTTAATTAAGATTGATATAGGTAAGATATATAAATTCAAATAATGTTCAATTAATGCTTACATGAGGTTCAAATAATGATGTTTTTATTTTTACTCAAAATATTTGATTGTAAGTGTGAATCAAGTATGATCTTGCATCATTTTTAATGAGATTTCAACATCTATTTAGCACCTTTCACTTATTTTGAGCAAACTATATAAATTATAGTCAATTATAATCAAACATTCTAAAAAATATATAGCATGCATTAGTAAATATGCATGATGTAAAGCTAATTAGTTCAACACCTACTAATGATGTGTGCATTGATCTAAAAATAAACAAAGGCCTAAGTAAAGACAAATATTATGAAGATAATGATTTCAATAATGTTTCATCATTAAAAAGATCCATTAGAGTTGTTATGTTATGCCCTATAATCTAATTTGGAAAGAATTATATCTTTTAATAATATCAGTCAAAGTTAATTAATTTATTTCAACAATAAAATACCAGCTAAAATGAATTATTGATCAAAACTTATGTATTTATTACTCAAAAATCATATACATCAGTAATGAGTCATATAAATACAATACAATATATGTCTACTCATAAACTCAAAAGAACAACCAAAAGAAATAATAACAATAAGTGCTAAAAATTTTGTATCTAATCAGCCTCGCACTCATAGCTTTTATCCCTAACATGAAATCATTAATTGACATATATCGAGTTTATAAAGTCCATCATGTCACTAGAACTGTACTACTAAATGCAAACCACAAAAAAGAAATAGCATGCAAGAAATCAATCTTAAACCTATGACATATAGTATTTTCCAAATAGTAAGGAAAATCGTATGAATCAATAAAACAAAAGTATCTATAAGGAAGCATTACTATTAAGGAGTTGTATAGGAGCGCACATATATGATGGCTAATTATTCTATATTAGTATCTTAATCGCTTGCACAATATTTCACTTCAACCTAAGGTGCCTGACTATAGTGCTTTCGACCTCCGCGCGTCTCTTCTCGATTACAGTTCTCAGACCATCGTTGTATGACTAAGTCCTCTTCGACCTCCATCGCCTGACTAAGGTCTTTCTGACCTCCGTCGCCTGATTAAATTTTTTGTACTAAAAAATTACTTTAAGAAGTAGTAAGAAAATCGTCCCAAATGAAGCCTATGTGTTTATTGTTTTTGTGATTTGATAATAATCTTATGAAATATCATCTAAATATTATGTAGCTTATCTAAATAATGAGTGATCTCCAACAGCCTCTTTTATATAATTTTCTAACTAAAACTTATTGAAAATTTCACTTCATGTATTATTATTTCATAACACAGCATCTGCACACCGCTTTTGTTGAAGCTCATCATGCTCTTGTATCGAGCAATGCTTATAATAACAACTTAACTTATTATCTAGCTAGCCAACTCATTTAGATCCTAAGTTATCGATGAATAGAATGGTAATATTTTTTAGAAATATGGTATTATTGTTGAAATTGGTCTTGATATCGCATTAGTTGGCTATTTTTTCTCAGAATGTTTATCGCATGCATGTTTCATTTTTTCTTAGATCTGTAAATGGTTATGTATTTCATCTATTGTTTTGATTTCAGATTGATATCAGAATTGTTGACATAATTCGCGTATCTTATCGGCTGCTGCTCTTGGACCCCAAAGTTTTTTCTGAACTATGGGATTGGTCTGGTTTTTATGATCTGGTGCAGCATGTTAACTGTCCCCAGATAGAAACTGCAAATCCAGTATTTAATGATTTATTGGACATTAGGTGGTGTGTGATACAGATGTTGTCGGTTGTTATGCGAACAAGTGATAGAATTATTGCTAATCTTGGCATGGGGGCAGAGGAAGCTTTATGTGCTTACTTCGGTTAGTCATGCCTACATTACTTTTGGAGTTCTTACCTTTATAAGATATCTCTGATAACCTTTTTGTCATGATAACTTCTTCATTTCCTACTTGCAGCTGGCAGGAGTATTGTCAGGACACGTCACTTGAAAAAGCTGGTTGGTACCTAAAAGAAGCTGAAGTGACACATGAAACCAATAATAATGAACTATCAAATCATTATCAATACATTAATTTTTTTGATTGCTCATATTCTTGCTCATATTCTCAAGGCTGTCAAAGGAGCCTTGAGAATAAGGTATGACGTTTAAATTAATTTAAATTTGAAAATTGCAATTCTCTCAGTTTTGTTTACTTTCGCGCCAAAAGAAGTTTATGTTTTTCCCTCTTGACTTGACACATTGGCAGTGAACATAAGCCATTGACTGGGAATTTTGTATTGACAACTGCTGTGAAGAGGAGCTTCGAGATGGTTTTGATGGCAGCCAGTCAAAAATGGCCTGTACTACTTTATGGCCCTGCTGGTTCTGGAAAAACTGCATTGATTAATGATTTAGCACTTAAAAGTGGAAGTAGAGGTATATTTTTGATGTTTTTTTCATAGTTATTATGCTTTTTAAGCATTTGTTGATTGACTTTTCCCATATAATATATTATTATGATAGTATTAACTTGGTGATTGGATATTTGATCAGTTGAATTTAGTGTTATAAAGCATGCCTATGCGTATATATCAGTCCACATTAGTGGAAGTAGATTTTTTTGTGTATTTTCACTCAATAAAATTTGTTTCCATTTATTACTTATCACATCTGTTTCTTAATTGTAATAGAAATATACGGTATTTACTGTTGTTATATTTTCTGATTGAAGATACTCTCCTTTATTATCTTCTTTTGCCTATATATTGGTGCATATATGCTTGTATTATCAAGACAATTGAGTAAAGATATAATCATTTCTAATTTTGTTCCTTATAACATGATATCATCGCCAGGATCATCATTGTTGTTGTTGTCTTTATCCCAATTATTTGGGTTGGGTTTATGAATCCCTAATAGAACATGAATTTTCTTATCATTAATAGACATGATGATAATAATAATGATATAGTTAAATTTATGAAAAATGATTCACTACAGGAAACTCAGGCAAAACCGGCGGTTTTTTCCGGCGGCTTCTCTAGTTACACCGGCGGTTTTAAAAAATACCGGCAAAATTGGCGTAGGAAACCATTGTCGGCGGTCTTTTTCCGGCGGCTTTATTAGCCGACGGCCTTTCGGCGGCCTATACCGCCGGTTATTACTGGATTGTGTACCGGCGGTGTTCCGGCCGTTGCGCCGCCGGCCATTGCGCCGCCGGCCATTTTACCGATGGCTAACCGACGGTCCATTCATCGATGGCTTGCCGGCGGTTACAGCGGCCGGCGTGCGTCCGATCAATCACCGGCAAGCGTCGGTACACCGCCGGTAAAATACCGGCAATTACCTGGCGGTCCCCGCCGACGGTCTTACCGGCGGTCTACACCGCTGGTCGTTCACCGGATAACCGCCGTGCACCGTCGGTGAACCGCCAGTATTTTACCAGTGGTTTAAAGAATGTACCGGCGGCGTCAATCAGCCGTCTGGTATCGTCTTTTCCGGCGGCCAAACTGCTGGTTAGCCGCCAAAAACCTGTTGCATCTTAAAAAAAAATGACAGCCTCCCCTCTATTTGAGGGAGGTTCACCCTAAGTTCTAGACCTGCACAAAAAGCAACAACAACAAGTTTTGAGCAACACGCTGCTATATTCATCACAAATATATACATAAGCACAAACAAGCAAGTTTACAATTAAACATTAAAAAGTTCTAAATAAGTTCATCAAACATAGAACAAGTTCACAAGTTCTAAATTTAATAAGGTTACAATCACAAGTTCACAAGTTCTAAATAAGTTCATCAATCAGAAGAGAGAGCGGAAGAAGAGAAATGAAATGGGAGGCTCGGGCTTGTTAATTTTAGGGCTTTTACCGGTGGCCTTCCAGCGATCTAGGCCGCCGGAATGGAAATAACTTAACAACGGCGGTCTGAGCTGCCGGTAAACCGCTGGTAATATTGATGTCCGGCGGTTTATCCAGCGGTTACATGACCGCCACTAGTACCGGCGGCCTAAACTTAAATAACCCCCGGTTTGGCCGCCGGTAATAGCCGGCGGCCAAACCGCCGACGAAATCGCCGTTAGTACCGGCGGCCATATAACCGCCGGTCAAGGTCGTCGGTAATAGGTGATTTTCCTGTAGTGATTACACCCTAACATTCAAATTAACTTTAACAACATGAGGATGAACCAAAGTTTTTAATATCATAGCTTATTCTTTAGTGTATATGCTTAATACATCTATATTTGGAGCATCATATGAACATGAACGTAAACCACCTCTGGCTGATACGACTGATACTCCTATCAGTATCTTAGGGCATAGCTCACAATTCTATGTATGTGGAGGAAAGACACTTGAGTCATCAGTAGTGGATACATCCTCTTGTAAGCATAATAAAACATAGCTTATGCGTTTAATATTGTTTGTGGCAGAAAGGTTAAAGTTATCAATGCTTGCAGACATTAGTGCCCTGACTAATTCAATAAAGAAGTTGACTTAATTTTACTATATGATCATACAAATATTTTTATACTTTATTTCTTTTGCATTTTTTTCAGCCTACAATATCTATTTATAAGGAACATGATAGGAAGTGTATGCAATTTCAACAAAACTAGAGAACTACACAAGAAATTTAGGAAGAAGAACACAAGAACTTTTTTTTTAAAATTGAAAAAAACTAAGAAGAAAAACACAAGATACAACTGGATATTTAATTGGTGAGGAAGATCTGGCTCTCTCAAATCCCTAGCCGTCAGTTAGAGCCCACTCAACCTAAGCAAAACTAACTCTAGCAAAATCAAGCATAAAAACTGAACCCTAGGGTAAAAAACTTATTTAAATTATTGATTTGCTGGGCCCCATAAGGGGTGGGGGGAAAATCTCCTTGAATTTTGTTCTGGTTTCTACCCCCCTCCACTACTTGCTGGGCCGGCATGTTCAACCTCTCTTAGTTTGCAGCAATAACAATACTTTCCCCTCAAAGATGCACCTTGTCCTCAAGGTGAAAGGATGGGATACTTTTGATAACTTTCTTCATATGTTTTGTTAGTGGCCATGCTATTTTCCACTTGAACCAAGCTAGAGCTTTCCCCTCTAGACATAACCATGCAATCATAAACTTCTCCTCTTCATTCAACTCATTCACTATGAAATACATCTCCACCGATAAGCATCCTCCCTTTCAAATATTGACATACTCAACTTTCTTACCTTAGAATCACTATCACCTCAATAGCTTCTTCCTCCTCCAATGTAACGGTTGTCGTGATTCCTCCATATTTGCCCCATGTATCAAGGGTGGGAATCTCACCTTCCTTCCCTTCGCCTCACATGATCCGATCCCCATGGTTCGATCCGACCCCCTCCTTCGTTTATCCACTTCCCTTGCCCAAAAGACCCTCCCATAGTGGTCGGCCACCCCACAACTTTCACCACGAAATGCCCTTCCTGTTGTCCCCCCATCCAATAACCCTATTACGCTGTTATCGGAGCCCTAAGAGGTGGCTCTTGACCCCCCTCCTTCTCTGATGGCCCACTCCCTTTGTCCAAAATGCCTCTCATAGTGGTTGGCCACCCTACTGCCTCCATCAAAAGATTTCCTCTTTGTTGTCCCCTCATCTAGAAACCCTGATCCAACCCTTATCGAATCCCTAGGAGGTTGCTCTTGATGAAAGAAAGTTCCCTCGTCAAACTTCTCTTGTCCTATCTCCTTTCCCTTTGATTCGAATATAATTAAGATAACTATCAAGTGTAGGTTTCCTATTACCAGACTTGACGACATACTTGATATGCTTAGTTGTGCCAAATTTTTTTCTAAGATTGATTTGCGAAGTGGATATAATCAAATCCGAATACGACTCGATGATGAGTGGAAAACAACCTTTAAAACAAAGGAAGGACTCTACGAATGGCTAGTCATGTCCTTTGGCTTATCAAACGCACGTAGCGCGTTTATGCAAACCATGATTCATATCTTTTGTCCTTTCATTGGAAAATTTTTTGTGGTTTACTTTGATGACATCCTGATTTATAACACTTGTTCCAATGACCATCTTGAACATGTGAAACAAGTCCTCCAAACATTAAGAGAACAAAGCTTATACATTAACTTAAAAAAGTGCTCTTTCATGACTCATAGCTCGACTTTCCTTGAATACATTATCTCTGCTGATGGTATTATAGTGGACCCCATTAAAATTGAAGCAATCCAGAGTTGGCCGACTCTGAAAAATATTAGTGAAGTTAGATTGTTTCATGGATTAGCTTCTTTTTATCAAAGATTCATGAAAAATTTCAATACTTTGATTTTACTCATCCCTGATTGCCTTAAAAAGGGAACTTTTAGTTGGACCCTTGAAGTTGGACAAGCATTTCAATTGATTAAAATGAAAATGAGCCAAGCACCTATTCTTAGGTTACCTGATTATTACAAGATTTTTGAAATAGACAGTGATGCATCCCATGTAAGCATAGGGGTTGTCCTTAGTCATATTGTTTTCTTTAGCGAAAAACTCTATGATACTCGATCCCGATATTCAACTTCTGATGTTGAGTTCTATGCGAGTGTACAAGCACTAAAATTCTAGAAACATTATCTTATTCAAAGGGAATTTGGGTTAAACTCTGATCACGAACCACTACGATTTTTAGGGTCTAAAAAAAAATTGAATTGTGGACATGACAAATGGACATCTTTCTTACAAGAATATGCATTTCATCTTGAACACAAAGTTAGAGTTGTGAATAAAGTCGCTGATGCCTTAAGTAGATGAGCCCACTTATTGATAGCTCTTCACCCAATGGTGGTCTCCCTTGATTCTTTTAAAGATAGCTATGCCACTGACCCAAACTTCAAAACCATTTGGGAATCATTTCGTATTCTGAAATTGACCCAACTGCTCAATTTACCATTCAACAAGGATTTCTTTTTAAGGGAATTAGACTCTGTATCACCCAAAGCTCTTTACATGAAAAACATATCCAAGAACTTCATGGTGGAGGATTAGGAGGATATTTTGGTCAAGGAAAAACTACAAACTTAGTTGAAAAATGATATTATTGGCCCCACATGCAAAAATATATAACAAAGCTTGTAAAATAATGTAAAACCTGTCATTCATTCAAAGGAAAAAACTCAAAAAATTGGTCCGTATACTCTTATCTCGATTCCAATTAAACCATAAGAAGATATCACCAAGAACTTCATTTTAGGATTACCTGTAACAGCCTGAAAATTTGATTCTATTTTTGTTTTCGTTGATTGATTTAGTAAAAGAACACATTTCATTCCTTGTAATAAAACCTCGAATGCATCTATGTTCCTGATTTATTTTTTAAAGAAATTGTGCAGTTACATGGCATACCTCAAACTTTTACCTTTGATAGGGATACTAGGTTCTTAAGTCATTTTTTGAGAATACTTTGGTCTAAATTA